TTTTTCCCCAACCGTTTAACAATGTAAAAATCATTCTTGGCTCACGGGCTGTACAAAAACAGTAGTAAGCTAGATTTGGCCTGTGGGTCATAATTTGCCCACTTCTGACCTAAAGCAGAAGAATGAAACTTTTGTCTGAATTCAGATCACAAGAGGATTTGTAAAGACACAGATTGCTGGGCCCCACTCCCAGAGTGTTTGATTCAGTAGGTCTGGGGTAGTGCCTAATAATCTGTGGTTCTAACAAGTTCCCAGGTGATGTTGATGTTGCTGATCAGGGACCTTGCTTTGAGAACCACTGATCTGGGAAGGAACTTCCCCCAATGCCAAGCTCTCTATCTGGGGTATTTTAAAACCTCCTCAGGCTTAGGAAGGATTTTGCATGATGATCACAGATTATAGCTTCATTGGAGAGACCCCACCCCACCCCCCAACCATCCCCATTCTCGATGAGAATTTCTCTGTGCACTTTGCTTCCAGGATTTTCTCTTTCAGCTAGCCTCAGGACAGAATTGGGATGAGAATTTCCAGTGCATCTGCTTTAAAAAAAAAAAAAAAAAGCCCCCCCCCCAGTTATTAAAAAATGCATTTAAAAATCTTTTATTTTGGAATAAATTTAGGCTTACAGAAAAGTTGAAAAGAGGGTAGAGAAAGTTTTCATATACTCCTCAAACAGTTTTCCTTAACGTTAACATCTTATATTACCATGGTACAGTCATCAAAGTAAGAAACCAACATTAGCACAATATTATTAACTAAACTCTAGACTTTATTTGAATTTCAACTGTTTTTCCACTGATGCCCTTTTTTCTGTCCCAGGATACCAACCAAGATATCACATTACATTTAGTTGTCATGTCTCCTTAGACATCCCTGGTCTGTAACAGTTTCTCATTGTTTATTTTTCATGACCTTGACAGTCTTGAAGGGTACTGGTCAGAATGTCACTCAATTGGATTTTTTTGATGTTTTCCTTAATGACTAGTCTGGGTTTATGGGCTTTCCAGAAAAAATACTACAAAAGTGAAGTTCCCTTATCATCACCTCAAATTGGGGTACATGATATCAACATGAATTTTCACTGGTAATGTTAATTTTGATCCCTTAGTTAAGGTAGTGCTTATCAGGTTTCTTAGCTGTGAAGTTATTATTTTTCCTTTTCTCTACTCAACTCTTTGGAAACTGGTCAATAATTAGAGCCCACACTCAGGAGGGAGGGGAAAAGTTAAGCTTCACTTTCTGGAGCAAGGAGTATCTACACACATTGCTTGGAATTCTATAAGGACAATGAATCTCTTCTCCTCCATTTATTTATTTGATAACATTTATATCAACATGGGCTTAGTATGTTTACATATTTTATACTTCAGGTTATAATCCAATACTGTGTTATTTTCTTGTTCAAATAGTTCTAGTTTTGGCTCTTGGGAGTACTTTCAGGTTGACTCCTGTATCCCTTTGACATGTTCCCCCTCCATCCTTTTATATTTTGAGCACTTCCCTTCTTTCTGTCAATACAAGATGCTTCAAGCTTATCTGGTATATTCCTGTCCTGGCCCTTGAATCAGTCATTTCCCCAAGGCCCCCTGTTATCTTTCATTGGAGAGTGGTATCAGAAACCAAAATCTTGATGTTAGGTGTGCTCATTGCTACGAAAATTTAAAAAAAAAAAAATTATAAACAATTCCAACAGTAAGGAAAAGTTTTAAAAAATTAAGTTAATAGGCCCCTAAATTCCATCATTAAGAGAGGAGGAAGCTTGACATTTGTAAATGTCCTTTTAGATCTCTCTCTAGATATATATGACATCTGTCTTTTTAAAATAAATATTTTATTTTTTAAAATTTTTATTTATTTATTTATTTTTGGCTGTGCTGGGTTCAGGCTTTCTCTAGTTGTGGCGAGCAGGGGCTGCTCTTCCTTGAGGTGTGCAGGCTTCTCCTTGTGGTGGCTTCTTTTGCTGCAGAGCATGGGCTCTAGGCACGCCGGCTTCAGTAGTTGCAGCACGTGGGCTCAGTAGTTGTGGCTCGTGGGCTCTAGAGCACAGGCTCAGTAGTTGTGGCGCACAGGCTTAGTTGCTCTATGGCATGCGGGATCTTCCCGGACCAGGGCTCGAACCCGTGCCCCTGTATTGGCAGGCAGATTCTTAACCACTGGACCACCATGGAAATCTAGTCTATGTTAGCTAGATAGCTATCTGTCCACATAATTTTTTTTCATGCCATCCATACTCTTCTACAACCTGCTTTATAAACTCAACATGTCATGGGCATCTTTCCATATCTATAAATGAAGCCCTACTTCATTAATTTTAATGGCTGCCTTTTTCCATTTCATGGTGTATCATAATTTATTTCATCAGTCCCTCCTGATGGATAGTTAGGACCTTAGGATTGTTAGGAAACAATCTCTATTTTATATTTTTCTGTGGTCTGCTGATTATCTCCTTGGAATAAAAGGATTTTATTTTGGCTCAAAAGGCTTGCCATTGTTTATCTTTTTTTGTGTGTGCAATTTTTGTAAACAGAAATTTAAAGACCTTTTAGAAATTAAAAATGTAATAACACTCATTATAAACAAATCAAACAGTGCAGCTATGCATGAAGTAAGAGGAGAAAACATCTGCTCTCCTAAGAGGTAACCACTGTAATACTTTTGGTGTTAACTGCTAAGAGTGTGGATTTTGGAGTGAGACCACCACAAATTTCACCAGAGAATACTGTGTGATCTTGGGCAAATGACCTAATATGTCTATGCTTCAAAATTCTCATTTTAAAATGAGGATCACAATAGTACCTATTCCACCAGTTTGTGAGAATGAAATAAGATGATGTATGTAAAAGAGCTTAGTACAGTTTCTGGCACATAATAAGAGCTCAATAAACACACACTATCATTATTGCTACTATTATCATTACAGTTTTTTTTTTCCCCCCCTGGGGATGTATATTTAAAATTTGAATAGCAATTTCTAACTTGCTCTTCTGGTGGATTCTAAAATCATTTCATTTAGATCCCTTAATTAGGTACTTTTCAAAGAGGGGTCCTCAGATCGAATTAGAACCTCTGGGGGTAGAACCCAGGAAACTCATGTTTATCAAGTTTCCCAAGGGACTCTGGTGTTCACTAAAGTTGGAGAATCATTTTCTTACACCCTAAAAGACCCAGAAAGGGAGAGGGATGGAACACCAATAAAAGGGGTCAACCCCAGCTGGTCAAGGCTGACACTGGGGATATTTACTGGGTTTGAGACAGCATAGTGGAGGGGTTAACTCTGGTTCTGTACTAGAAGGACCTAGGTTGGTTTGTTTGTTTATTTATTTATTTATTTATCTATGGCTGTGTTGGGTCTTCGTTGCTGTGCATGGGCTTTCTCTAGTTTCGGCGAGAGGGGGCTACTCTTCGTTGCGGTGCGCAGGCTTCTTATTGCGGTGGCTTCTCTTGCTGCAGAGCACGGGCTCTAGGTGCGTGGGCTTCAGTAGTTGTGGCACATGGGCTCAGTAGTTGTGGCACACGGGCTTAGTTGCTCCGCGGCATGTGGGATCTTCCCAGACCAGGGCTTGAAGCCGTGTCTCCTGCACTGGCAGGCGGATTCTAAACCACTGCGCCACCAGGGAAGCCCCTAGAAGGACCTAGGTTTGAATCACAGTTACTAGTGTGGCCTTAGATCATGACCCCACAGAGCCTGGCACACCTGCCTGGCTCCTTTCCTCTCCCACTTTCTTTAAGTCTTTGACAATTGTCACTTTTTCAGCTAGGCTATCCTTGACCACACTATCTATATAAAATTGCCTCCCCGGACTTCCCTGGTGGTCTAGCGGTTAAGACTCCGAGCTCCTAATGCAGAGGGGCCGGGTTTCATCCCTGGTCAAGGAACTAGATCCCGCATGCCGCAACTAAAGATTCCGTGTGCCGCAACTAAGACCCTGTGCAGCCAAATAAATTAAATACTAAAATAAATAAATAAATAAATAAATAAATAAATAAATAAATAAATTGGGGCTCCCCTGGTGGCGCGGTGGTTAATAATCCGCCTGCCAATGCAGGGGACACGGGTTCGAGCCCAGACTGGGAAGATCCCACATGCCTCGGAGCAGCTAAGCCCGTGCGCCACAACTACTGAGCCTGCGCTCTAAAGCCCTCGCGTGGCAACTACTGAGCCCACAAGCCACAACTGCTGAAGCGCGTGCGCCTAGAGCCTGTGCTCCACAACAAGAGAAGCCACCGCAACGAGAAGCCCGCGCACCGCAAGGAAGAGCAGCCCCCACTCGCCGCAACTAGAGAAAGCCCGCGCGCAGCAACGAAGACCCAACTCAGCCAAATATAAATAAATTAAATTAAACTTTAAAAAAATCTACCTCCTAGGGAGATACTAGGGTTGTTATGAGTATTAATGAGATAATACATTTGGAGCTTGCAGCACAGTGTCTAGGCATATACTGACTGAATTACTTTCCCCCTCCAGTTTTATTGAGATATAATTGATAAAAAAATTGACTGGATTACTATAGATCTAAGGTGTTTCTTAGTTGGCTGAGTACCGGGATGGGGAGAAGGGATCTTGAACTTTTCTGGCAGATTTCTTCTGTTGGTCCGCACCTCTTTCCCCTGCTGTCCCCTGGGTCACCTTCCCAGAGGAGTTCCCGGGTCCTCAACAATTAAACAAAGACAAGTCTAACTGGTCCTACAGCACAGAGGAGAAACAGGATAAGCAGGAGCAGCAGAGCCCTAACTTTGACCAAGACTTTCTCCCCTCCTTTCCTCACTCTCCAGTATGTGACTCAGAAGGGATTTTAATAGCAACGGTCGCTTCTACCAGCTAGGTTGATTCTACCAGCAAAGGGGAGGAAAAGGATCCATTGAAGTGACAACTGGGAGTGGGGGGGGGGGCGTTGCGGTGTGGGTGTCGTCCCTTTCCTTTCCGCGCCGGCGCGTTCTGTCACAACCCCGCGACCATTGCGACAGAAGAGCGAGATCGGCGCTGGCCCTTTAACAGCCCCTTCTCGGGGGCCTGCCCCGCGCGTGCGCACTGCGGTTCTGCGCTTGTCATCATGGCGACGCGGGGCCATGTGCAGGACCCTAACGACAGGCGCCTCCGGCCCATTTACGGTGAGTACCTGGGGCCAGTCTGGTTGCCAGCCAGAGGCGCCGAGGGCTGCGGAGCCCGGGGCAAAGGCCCGGGAGGGGCGCTGAGGGGCCGGGAGCAGGGCTGGCGGGCACAGGGGGCGGGCCGCGCGGGCCTCTAGGCCGCAGCCACGGGCCTCGCGTAAGCGCCGGCCTGGCTTTCTTGAGCCCTGAGGTGGCAGCGGCGCGGTCAGGGCAGCGGCAGGTCGGCAGAGCTGGCCTGACAGGCGAGCCCTGTGAGACACTTCCTCTCGTAGAGACCAGCGCTACACGCAGGCTACGTTGTCGGGGCCACGCCAAGGGAGACCCGAGGTCTGCCCGCAGGTGGAAGCTGGCTCCGGAGTGAGGGTGGGACACCCCACTTGAGGGAAAATTCCCCGCTCAAGACTTTTTACCTATAGGAATAGGGCCTAAAGTGTTGTCTGACTAACTGTACTCGGTGCACATGGAGAAACAGAGGTCCCGGGAGGGGAAGGGGCTGACGCAAGGTCACCCAGATCGAGTCGGGAGCAGGCCCGGATTTGAGGATCCCAATCCAGAGCTCTTTGGCGGAGGAACAGCTGCTCTGGGCACACGTGGGAGGCGGGGGCGGGGTGGGGCGAGG